CACTCTTTCTGTTGCTAAAATAACTGTTTTATTCCAATACACCAAAACGTGCTTCAACTTTATATTCTCTCTTTTTCCTCTGTTCCGAGACAGAGAGAGAGATGAGAGAGAGATGAGAGAGAGATGAGAGAGAGAGCTTGACTCAGTTACACAAACATCAACCCTCCAACCTTTGACTTTGTCTTTCCAACCATCTTCCGCCATTTGCATTGCGCCACCTTCTGATTCCGCACGCACGCTCGCACGCAACAGCCATGCGCTGGTTACCCTTCTCTCCTTCCGCCGACCACCGCAAGAAGGCCTGCCTATTGGGGAATTCCTCCAAGAAGCGCGCCTGCGACGACTCCTCCTCCTCCTCCTCCGTCACGCCTCTGCCGTTGCCCCTGCCGGAGCTCGCCGCCGCCGCCGTTGTTCTCCGCCAGAGAGACGCCGAGTGCCGCCTTCCCTCGCCCAAGGATGCTGCGCCCGCCTCCACCTCCACCTCCGGATTTCGGATGCGCAGGTCCATTTTTCCTTTCTTTTATTCAACTTGTTGTTTTTTTAATGCTGTTTTGATTCTGCTAGACTAGTTGCTTAATCCATTCAATTATCACTAATTAATAATTATCGTCATTCCTTGATTTTTTTTATTGCTCCAGATTGGATCATGAGATGCAAATATTCGTGCTTGCGAAAAACGTCTAGGGCATTTTCCGTGCCATAAGTTATCATGAGTTAAAAGTAAATTATGCACCTTAGTTTTACGGAAAAGTTGGATCTTCTTAAATTAAATAATTTTAATTTACGAGCAAAGTGCAATTTCTCAAGCTCGTGTTTATAGGAAAGTTTATGCGAAATAGACCTATGTTGATTATGCATTTGTGGTTTTGACCTATATCTTGTCATGTGTTTGAGGAAGAGATTTCAGTTTAGTTTAATAGCTGCCATGGTGCTTTTGTTAAAGTATTTGGATGAATCTTGTATTGTAACAGTGTTTTTGCTAGCCAAGAGACAAGAAGGAATATGGAGCAGGCTGAAACTAGGTCATCAAGGATGGGGAACCATGATGCAAGTGGTTGTTGCGAGAGTGCTCGAGATAATAGTAATAATAGTAATAATAATAATAATAACTTGTTGAGTATACCTGGTAGGAGGAGTATTTCAGGTAGTCCTTCAATGAGTCCACAGAAAACAAAGAATGGTGATTTTGTGCCATATTATTACGTGAGTCCCAAAGGAAATCAGCACTGGTCTGCACCAGAAATGGCTACCTGTGAAGCAGGGTTGCCACCTCCTGCATTCTTTGATTTATCTGAATCTTCTCCAACCTCCCATCAAAGTCCACAGAGAAGAAGTCCTCGGCGGCAACACATGAGAACCTTGAGTGGACCTGCATCCCCCATCCATTCCATGTTATCGCCCGAGACCTCAACGGCACGCCGCGAAAGTAATGCTCCTCCTGTCAGTGTTCACCCCTTGCCCCTGCCTCCTGGGGCTGCCCTGCCTTCGCCTTCTGCTGCCACCGCCTTTTCCCATGCCCTGGCTAAGTCAGAATCGTTGCCAATGAAAAGCCAATGGCAGAAGGGGAAACTTATTGGCCGTGGCACGTTTGGAAGTGTCTATGTTGCGACCAATAGGTACCAGATGTTTCGTCAGTATTTTAAGCTCTTCTGTTGTCTCTTTTCTAAGGCTTTCAAACTGATGTTGCTTCCTCGCAGGGAAACCGGAGCATTATGTGCAATGAAGGAAGTAGAACTACTTCCTGATGATCCGAAATGTGCAGAGTGTATAAAACAGTTGGAGCAGGTTGGTTGTACATTACATGTTTGATTGTTTCTTACAACTGTCTATTTGTCAATTGTTAAGATGTACAAACTGCGTAGAGTAAGAGTGTTGTGTCTTGTGCTTTTCGTGTTCGTATATATGTATGTTATTATGACTTGGAGGGATTTTACTGTAGAAGTTAATATGACGAATGCCCGCCAATTTCTTTCGAATAGTAATTCACTAATGCTCTTTCCAATCCTGATTGAGAAACACATTTTCAGTCGGTTTGAATTCTCTTATTAACTTGAACCATCTAGGAACTGATGGCTGCGTGATTATGAACATCTTATAGTTACGCTTAGCAAATTTGCTTCTGAAATGTTTTATCCTGAAACTTACAATAACTAATGCAGTTGCTTTATAGTTGTAATTGGAATTGAAAATATTTTTTTTTCTTGTTGAACAGCTAAGACCCTCAGCTTATAATACCTTTATTCTTTTTTCTATGCCTTGGTTCATATCATACATTTTGCAGTGATGCTCCTAATTTTTGTGGTAATGTCCATTATACTTGAATAATTGATGAGGTTGCTTTGTATTTTTAATGGCTTGGTTATATATGTTCTATCCTTCCTTAATTAATTATTTATTTTCTCCAGGAAATTAAAGTTCTTAGCCATCTTAAACATTCAAACATTGTGCAGTATTATGGCAGTGAAATAGTAAGCAATCTCCTACTTCATAATTAGCTGCTCGAGATTAATCATTATCCAGTAACAGCCTTAAAATCTTCTAACATCTTTGGGTTATGCATTTGCAGGCTGAGGACCGATTTTATATTTATCTGGAATATATTCATCCTGGTTCAATAAATAAATACGTCCGTGAACATTGTGGTGCCATAACAGAATCTGTCATTCGGAATTTCACTCGCCACATTCTGTCAGGGTTGGCTTATTTACATAGCAAAAAAACAATTCATAGGTACATTATATTCACAAGTTTTAAGTGCTTCGCAATGGCATGAACTCAAAACATTTAGAAGATTGATACATAGGCAAATACTTTGTTTTTGGTGGAAAAATGATTGTTTTCCAGAATTTTTAATTCATTTTAGATTTGAACCTTTAGGTCACATGTTTATTTATTTATATTTTTCATGTATGCATATAGGGACATCAAAGGAGCTAACTTGCTTGTTGACTCTGCTGGAGTTGTTAAGCTTGCTGATTTTGGGATGGCTAAGCATGTGAGTTCCAAGTCTCCCCCCTCCCTTTGATTTACTTTTTCTGGTCTCAATCCTGTTGTCATGCAGAGAGTGGTTTTCTTATTCCAATGACTCTTTGTATTTCTACTTGTTAATATCATTATATATTTATTGTTGAAAAATTCCCAAAGAAGAAATTGGCATTAGAAAGACAGGCCATAAGTTAAAAAACTCAAACTAATGGCTTTCAAAATTCCTTTCTCTTGATTGAGATAAGCAATTTTATCACCCCTTAAAGCAGTTTCAGTTGTTTCTGAATAAACTTCTTGCGTAATAATCAGGTGCTTCAAGCATTCTTTTTCAATTTCATTGCTTGAATATGTATCTTCAGGCTTTGGTGCTTATTTGTGCTGTTGAATTGAGGTGTTTCATTAAGCTTACTTTGTACATGAGGTGTTAGCTTACTTTGTACATGAGGTGTTTCATTAAGTTATAAGTTGGGATCTTCATGTTGCACAGCTAACTGGGATCGAAGCTACTCTTTCTTTGAAGGGAAGTCCATACTGGATGGCTCCAGAGGTATATTCTTACTCTACATTACCTTGTAATGTCTCTCATACATTCCTTACTAACACTTAAATTGTCATACAGCTTCTGCAGGCAGTGATGCAAAAGGATAGCAGCCCTGATCTTGCTTTTGCTATTGATATTTGGAGTTTGGGTTGTACCATCATTGAAATGTTCACAGGGAAGCCTCCTTGGAGTGAATATGAAGGAGTAAGCACCTGAATAAAATCTCGATTGTCTCTTTTCAACTTTGTTATTCTCAGGCTACTTCAATATGGAGGATAATGCGGCAACTTTTTACTTATTTTTGCGAACCTCAATTTAGCAACCAGCTTAGGCATCTTTGAGCCAACTTTTTTATGTTTGCAGCTTGTGGATTTGGCAGAGATGCTGTATGTATACAGGGTCCTTTATCCTTTTAGCTTGCTAAATAAATTTCTTATCTAATTATGCAGGCCGCAGCTCTGTTTAAGGTTATGAAGGAAACCCCCCCTATACCTGAAACATTGTCGTCTGAGGGTAAAGATTTTTTGAGGTGCTGCTTTAAAAGAAATCCAGCAGAGCGACCAACAGCTGCAGTTTTACTAGAACATCGTTTTTTGAAAAACTCACAACAGCCGGATGTTTTATCTTCCACTCAGCTGTACCATGGAACAAGCTTCATGGTAAATACAACCGTTGTGCCACTTTTATATTTGTCAAACCATGCTATTTGGTTTTAAAGTTTTCGTTTGTTGGCAGGACAAACCACATAGTCCCAGTGGACAATCTGAGAATAAATATGATCAGTCGTTAATCCCATGTGCAAAGATTGCAAAGGAGAAAGCAGCTGAGAGGCGAGGATTTCTCATTACTTCGTTAGATATTCTCCCTGCATATTGTCACCAATAACGTAATTCTGTTCTCAGTCTATTGCCCCACCCTTTATGCGCCTTTCTTTTTCTCTGCTGAAGTCGGGAATCATCTGACAATAACTTGCACATAGCAGTGGTTTCAGTGTTTTTTTTCTTCCCTCTACTCTTGAAGCAGTTCCTTCACTGTACATTGGCTTTTAAGGTACAACACACACGGTCCAGTAGCATTGATTGATTGTCTGTGAGTCTGTCATGTCAAAAGATTGAAAAAAAAAAAAAAAAAGGTTCTTTTCAAATTCTGCGCTGAGGGAAGTTATCTTTATTTATGCCAATGACAAGGCTCCATTGTAGTACTATAGTATACAGGGACGCTCATGCAGTGACTTGCAGCTGCTGCCGTCATAGGTTCTTTTGCTTAGTTTATCATTGATTAAAGTGAAGAGCTTCTCCAGTCTGTGACTGTAAATTATGCTGCACCGATAATATAGCAGCAGTTTTAGAATAATATTATTTTACTTAGAGCGCTGAAGCAATTAACCTTCTAAGGTGCATATTTATGCCTCCATCTATATTAGGATGAAAAACAATATTATGTAGACATTAGTGTGCAGCCGTCTCGGTTTCATGGGGATTCTGACTTGGCTGCTTAAGTTATGTTAGATTTGTTAATAGTAATAACACTATCAAAATATTCAATTTTGCACTTTAAAAAGTTGTACTCCAACAGGAACTGCCACATGTGCCCATAGGATGGAAGAATAAATTGTTGAGGCATTTTCTTTGTGTATCTGATGCTCCTCTTTCCTGCTACATTTAGTCAAGAAGGCCAGACAATGCTAATACAATACAAGTGTAAATAAGGTTCTCTTCTTTCATTTACGGGGTGTTATGCATTTGATAAATATTTCATTTGTGTAACAATTGTTTAATTTAATTTTACTACTAAATAGATGATTTAAAGAGATTTAATTTGTTTAAGATAATGCATAAAATTTATAAAATTATGAAAATCAAGAAACATGCACCAAATTAATTAAGAATTTAAATTTATATGATAAAGACAGTCAAATATTGATTTCACTAATTTTTCTAATGTAAATCTATCTAAATTTTCATTCAATTTTAGAATTTAAACAATTAATTTAATAACTCTCAAATATATTTAAACCTTAATTCTTTAGACAAAAAATTGAGTTATTTAAAAAAAATCTCAATTTTTTTTTTTGTAAAGTTTGTTTAACAATCCGAATTAAGGTCAAGGAACTAAAAATCAATTAGTAAGGCTTATCTAATTCTTAGTAATAAGTTTTATTAGCAAAATTTTATCTAGATCATAATTCTAAAATGGTTTTTCAACCTCGGATAAAATTATAAAATGCGATGATTGATCAGGCCACAATAAGCATTAAGTAAAATTAAAAAATGATTAATTGAATACAAACATTTATTAATCTCTAACAATGGAGATTTAGCCACTCATGACTAAGGATTTTACATAAGAAAATAGGAAATCTTTGAGTGATATGTGATTACAATACTACTCTCACAAAAACTCTCTCTAACCTCTCAAAATTCTTATCGTAAAAGTCCAAATGCCATGTTTTTTATGAAATCCTAATTTATAATAATTTATATGGACTTTTATTAGTACATTCTCGTTTAGAACATCCAAATGATTCGCTTAAGCAAGCTAGCATGTACTTCCATAGGTTTGTCTTTAACTTGCCTTACTCAAAGCGCTCATCATGGTCACTCTAAGCAAATTCTAATTCACTCAAAGCGAGTAGATCATTCACTTAAGCGAACTACTATTTGATTCCAAGGATAATCTCTGCGTAGAGTCACTCGAAGCTCTTGCAGTGGTCACTCTAAGCAAATTTTGGCTCGCTTAGGACAATTAGCTCATTTGTTTTAAGTGTTAGTGAGCTAACATGTGTCTTCAAGGACAGTCTCTGTGTGGACTTGCTCAGAGTGAGCATTTATGTCGCTTTAAGCAAATTCTTTCAATTAGGCTCTCTTAGAGTGCCTAGTTGATTATCTTGGAATGATCCTAGGTTGATTTTGATGAGACTTTTATAGCTTCTAGTTACCTTATTCATTGTTTCTCAAAATTCAATAAAGAAACTATTAAAAATACTTAAGATTCAACTATTTTATCCTTTAAAATAAAATTAATACTATGTATTTAAGGCCAAAAACAAGATTATGAAGCATAAGATATATTTAATAATTGTTTAAATTGAATAAAAATGTAGACATATTTGCCAATTGTCAAAACACACCAAACTCATAATCTTGTTTGTTCTCAACAAATATAAATCAAGCACTACCTCTATTCTAAACACCTAAAATGTGTCAAGAACACTCAATGTGAACAAATTTTATCATTCGAAAGTTCTTTTCTTAATTATTCAAGCAATCACATTATCCACCATCATAACAACATCAAATCTATTCTAAAAATGCAGGAAGAAATTTCAAAGATACTAGCCCTCATTAACGCTCACAATTATGCATTTCAAAACACTTGTTCACTTCACCAATTGCAATTCAAGTGTAATCATATGATTAGTGCTTCTCCTAATTCACACATTCAATACCATCCAATTTAGTTTTACTCTTCAACTTTCCTTTCCAAAACAATTATGTGAGAATTATAAGTGTGCAAAGATCACTAAGGACTTTTTAAACTTGTAATAATGTAGTCAGGCTACCAAGGAATTCATTATTTTTTTTAAAATCAAAAACACCTAAGGCTTAGGAGAACACTAGTTGTGTTATTTTATTTATTTATTTTTACAATTCGTTTCTAGATTCCTCAAAGCTCCTTTAGATTGCACATTTCCTCTATTGTATTCTTAAAGAGTTTATTTATATATATAGTAAAGGGACACTTCAATACTTGACATTTATAGGTGCTTGAGTCATCTTAACCTTCTTGAAATTTTGTGGGTGTAACATACCCACACCAAACTTGGAATCCTTACTTTTGTTGTGGGTATAATACATACCCGCACCAAACCTAGAATCTTTCTTTCTTATTATGACTAAAATTGTTTTCCTTAACCCTAAAGGTGTAGGCTAACAATTTAATTTTTTGATAGGCTCAATTTCTAATGAAATAAGAATATCATTGTTTGGCTCAAAGGGGTAACAAGTGTTAAAAAAAATTAGGTTGGTTTTTTGGCTAGTGGCTAAGAATATTAAATATGCATTGTTCATGTCCTAACACCAGGGTCGACCCATGCATAAGGTTGTCCAAGCCCTAGTTTAGGCCCTTAAAATAATTTTTTTTACTTGTAGAACTTAATGAATCAATTGTATCAGTACTAACTTTGGTTTGTTGGTCATTGTCTAAGCCTAACATTGTAAGAATTAGGGTTCAATCCTAGTATTGTAATTTTTTACTGAAAGTTCCTTTTTTTATGAGTGACTGTTGATTTTCTTGTCACTCTCTCATCTTTAAAAAGGCCTAGCCCAACACACATATAAAATCACACAATTGCACGACTAAAGCAAAACCAATTGAACATAATAGAATGTGGGCACTCAATCATGTTATGTGTGGGTCTCTCAACTCTCTTGCTAGGTTTTATGAAAAACACAAAAATTCATGCCACAATTTTCAATCTTAGAGAAATCAACACAGACATTAAAAGTAGTTTCACCTTCACCATTACCACATAAATCTTTGCTTTTATCGAATAGAAAATTCAATTACTAATTAACAATTAAAGTTTTGTTCATATGATATTCTCACATAGTTTGATAGTCAAGAAAAGAGAACACTACAAAAATACTCAAAATAAAGATAGATAAAATAAACTAAAAATGCTAAATAAAAAAGAAAGAAAAACTTGGCTTTTCATATATGCCCTAAGTATCATCCTCCTTTCTTGACTCCTCCTACTCATTCGAAGTGTCCTCTAACAAGTATGTAGCTTTGCCTTTTCCATGACTAGAAACTTGCTAGTTCCTAAAGCTTATTAGTCATGCTACCTAAGATGCATAGTTTTAGAAAATGAATCAATAATTTTTTTCATTTTTCTATTTTTTTTAATATATTTTTTAAATCCTCGTGTGGTCGCTCAAAGTGACATTAGGGGTCACTCTGAGCAAGAAACTTTCCCACTTAAGCAAGAACAAAGCTTGCATTAAGCAAATGGACACAAGGGCTTTTTGATTTTCTTACTTAAGCGAGAGTAAGGCTTGCTTAAGTGAGTGACCTTAGAAAGGTCATTGTCTTGATATGTGACATTCCCGCTTAAGAAACCAATAAATTCACTTTAAGCATAAATGTTAGCATGGAACTTACGTAAAAACAAAAATTTAAATGATAAATTAAAGTTTAGAAACTAGGTTACCTCCCAGATAGCGCTTCTTTAGAGTCATGAGCTAGATGAATGATGAGACCCTCAAGGGCCCTTGAATTTAATTTGAGGTGTCATCTTCTCTAGCTTGTTTTAAGATGGGGCTTGACCCTTTCCTTTTTTGCAAGTCTAATACTAAAATATAATATCTATTAGTCACATACAAATTAATATATTAAGAAAATAAATTTTGTTTCAAATAAAGCATAGTACAATAATGGATCCAAATCTAAATGCTATTGAAAGAGCAACTCACCATCTTTGATGGACACATCAGCTTGAGCAAAGTTCGTCGCCATGGCAACAAAGAGTGCGATCCCATGCTCAATTGTGACAATGTTGTTGTCGTTGTGTGTGAGAGTGCAAATGCGAGTGGGGGTTACAAACGAGACGATGAAGGTCACAAGCAAGATTTACAATCGAAAGAGTGAAGGTCACAAGTATGGTTGTGAACAACGACAAAGACTAATGGCAAAAGGCATGCATATGCGAAAATAGGAAACGCTAAAAATTATAGAGATGAGAAAATATGGTGATAGAGAGAAGAAGGAATAATGGAGGCAAAGCAAGACAATGATGAGAAGAGGGATTGAGAGCAAATAGGGTTTGGGAGAAAGGTCTTCTTTCGCATTAGATTATTAGCATGGGGGTTTAATCTTAATACTACATCAATTCTCATATTAACTAGTGTAGTAATTGACCTTCTATATCATTTATTAATCAACTGATATAAACAATTTGAAAGTATTTACAAAAATGTTGACACTACACATTCTACATGGATTGGTAAACAACTGATGTAGAAATGTCGTAAAATAGTACTTTAATAGTAGTGTTTATCACTCAAAAAGTTTATCTTTTCCATTAACTAAAGTCATGACCATGTATACTGCAGTTTTCATAACTCATACATAATTCCCAAAAATTTTAATATTTTTTTCTATCTTCTCAAGTTTGTTGTACCCAAAATGATGCCTTTTCTCCATGGTTTGCATCCAATTCAACATCATAAATACAAAATTCAATTAAAAACAAGAAAACTTTATGGTTCCTCAATTTGGATAGAATAAAAACTAAAAGGTGGAATGAAACAAGAAATGGAAAAAGAACGTCACAATTCATGAAGAATTAATGAGTTAAGAAAGATTTGCCACTAAGAACATAGAAATTAATTGATAAGAAACAAAGTACTATCAAGAACAACGATAGAAAACTTCTCCTACAAACAAGTGTTTTCATAAATGAGGGAAATCTTACTTCACTAGTCGACAAATAACTATTTATATGTTATACCTACGAGAATTTAAAAGTCAATCCAACAAGGTCAAAATTAACTTAAAACTAAACAAAATTAAAAAAAAAAAAAAAATGGCACCACCTTCATTGGACCAAGCTAGCCATCATTTGCTTGGTCATT